GCTTTAGGTGCAATAAGGGAATTAAAACAAATAGATAGGAATTTCAAGTAAATTAAGAGTAGTTTTGTCATTTCATGATTTAAATCAACGGTTTAAGTTTGCTTTTAAGTTTTARTGGAGCAAAACACACGGTCAATCTGTAAAACATGGGGGCATTGAAAGATATAGGAAAAATATGCAAAATTGTTAAAATATGGGGAATTGGGGCAGCAATGTAAAAATGTCTGAAAAAAGAACTAGGAAGAAACCCTAAAAATCTTAGGCATTTGCAAGCAAGCGAGAGAGGGAGAGACCATTCCTGAACAACTAAGAAGCAAGACTCAGGAACTGAAAAGATTTGTTTTAGCCAGCAACCACACTATCAATCAGGTAAAAACCCTTTTCTTCGTTCCTTCTTTTCTTTTCTTTTTTTTTTTGTTTATTTTGTGAATCATACCAAGATATTTACAATGGCCTCTGCACTTCTTCCTCTAGCTTCTGTTCTTACGGAGGAAAACTAGAAATTGGGGCCTTCCTAGAGTAGGTCTCTTCTTGAGTGTTGTGAGTTCTCATTCTCTGCAAGTTCTCCTCTCTGCTTCATGCTTTAGTAAGTGGTATGTGGAACCTGATAGGCCTTTCTCATTAAAAGAGGGATTTAGGTTTATTTCCAACTACTGTCATAGACTCRTTAAAGAGAGCCAGAGAGATGCTTGTATTGGTGAAGATGTGTATTCCCATATGGAAGATGCCATGAATCCTGACTGAAACTTTCTCTTATTCTGGACTTAAGCATGATAGGTCCATCTTCCAATTTGAGTTTTCCTCTTCGCTTTTCATAAAGTTTTAATTTTCTGGGTTTTTTAGGCAATTATATTTACTTACTTTAACTGTTATTTTTCTGTATATGTCAATCTTCCGTCATGTTAATTCAGAAACTAATATACTGTAGTACATCTATTGGTCAACTTCTTTTTCTAGATTCAATAAATTTGAGAACCCCATGAAATTAGTCAGCTCACAATTAGCTGAAGGAGTTGGGGAGGTTGCATTGATTTGATTGGACTCTTTTTTCTGATTTCTGAACTATCCCTTTCGCCCTTTATTGGGTTCTTCAGTTTTGTGTTTCTTGTAGTTGTATTGTAGCTCTATCTCACTGTCATAAACAATTGTATATGCAGCTCTTGGCTTCAGCTATGGCCAGAAAAGGTTCAACTATTAAGGCTGCTCCAATGAAAGAAGAGGAACCAGTTACAGAACAGGAAAAAATCAAACCCAAAAGGAAAAAGCTTGGACAAGAAATTGATGAAATCTTCTCCAACAAGAAGTTGAAGAAAGCCGAAGAACAACAAATGGAGAAGGCAACAGAAGATGGTATTGAGAAGCCAAAGAAAAAGAAAAAGAAGAATAAGTTTCCTAAAAAAGATGGCTTTGTTGATCCCCCTCCTCGAGAAAGAAAGAGAACGGAGGATGGCTTTGCTATTTACACCGAGGAAGAGCTGGGAATTGTGAAGTCAGATGCTGGAGGCACCCCACTTTGTCCCTTTGATTGTTCTTGTTGCTTTTGATTCTGATCATACCCCTTATAGTCCTTAGGTGGTTTGTTTGAAGTGGGAACTTTTTACATTTTGACTGTACACCAAGTGCCAGTAGATCTTCATTAATGCAATTTTGGTTCAATATTTTGAGGCATTACTTGTTTAGGGCTTTAACTTGTTTTCTTTTCTGCACCAAGAAGCAAATTTACCGAAGAAAATAGTACCAAGAGAAAAAAAAAAAAAAAAAAACTTATCCCCATCTTGCAGTAACCATCTATTAGCCGTGTTAGTGTGAAAAGATGGCATAGAATATCCTTACGAGCTCTATTTGCCAGTTCATGAGCTTTACTATATTATACCCAAGTTCTATTTATAAAAGCTAACATTTTTTGAAAGGAAGAAGATAACAAGAAATTGAAGATCCTTCTATTTATAAAAGCCCAGAAATTCATGAGCTACTGGGCTGTTATTTATTTAGTTTTTCGGTGGTAAGGGCTAGCGTTTGGTTCTTTGCTTAAAATAGCCAGGGTGTAGTGCCGCCAGACTTCCAAACCACTAACTAGAATACTAGATAAGGTGCCCCATGTCCAAGCATCAAATGACCAAACTAACCAAGGTTTAAGGGGTAGAATCAGATTTGAGTAAAGTTCTGCTTTCTCCAAGAAAACCAAATAAAAGAATAGAGAAAGTCCCCATAGTTAGGAACCTTGCCTATATGCAACCACCATTTTTTGTATGCATTATAATTTATCAGCATCATTTTAACCAATCCCCCTCAGAAATTGAATTTGCAGCCCCCTCCTAGTCTACTAATAACCCCTCTATAAACCACATCCTGCCCGTGAATTTGACATCAATCCACGGGCAGGATTCAGTCCACATCCTGCCCGTGACTAGTAGTAGCACCACCTAGGGGTGGACTAAATGGTAAAAACCCCTTTAAATAAAGAGGCTGTGCTTTTTTTTTTTTTTCAAAATTCAACGTAAAAACTTAACAGAGCAAATAATATTAGTGAAGTATTCCAGGTTGAAAAAATTTCTCACCCTTCATACTGTGATGAAGAGTAGAGCTGCGGACGGATCAAATCAGATACGCCAGGATCGAAATTTGTTGATTGACATTCGTATTTGAATCAAATCTATTCCGTTAGATTTATATTCAATCAAATTTTGATTATAATCTGACATTGAATAACATTAATAAACTACAACAAAAAGGTACAAAATATTATATATTATTAATGATTACTAAACACGATTCTTTTATTACATCAATGATCGATTTTTTTCTGGTTGCCAAACCATCAATGATAGAAAAAAGGCCACCAAAGTGGAATTCTGATTAGTTGAAGGCTTTGACTGTTCGTGATGAAGTTTTAGAGGCCTATGTATTTTATTACTGGCGTAAGACTTTATCATTAGTTTCAATCCGCTAAACAGTCAAAACGTTCAGTTAAACCATGCTCAACAAAGTGGGGCTCAGGTCTGCTACCCACTATTAGATAGGGGACAAGTAGTGCGTATAGATGTGGGAACAAGTAGTGCGTATACTGGTGGTATACACGGCGGCGTTCAATTAGAGACTGGGAGTAAAGCTGACTCGATAGTAGTTACAAACCCACAGCCCGTCATTTGAATTGTTATATTATAAATCCACAGTTTCTGTTTCTTGCAAAAACATATTGGAATTGCCGCTAGAGATTAGTTATGGGAGTTTGGTCAAATCTAATATTGGAATTGCCCTACCAAAGAACCAGACCCGGAGCACAACCAACATTTACATACCTAAGAATGGTTGGGATTTCGACCTCAACAGAATTGGTCTTTACATCCACCTGACAGCACCAAGCAGCCGAGAATTGGTCCCACACCATTTCTGTGAAGAAATCCGAACAGAAAGGCATTTCTACAACTTAACTAAAGAGAGCCACGGCACAAAAGCAGCCATTATTCTGCGGGCAGAAATCATAATGATGAAAGTCACCTCCATTTCGAGTATGGTGGTACTCGTTTGAATCGTTTCGGTTAAGTATTGCGACAAGTATTCCTCCTTTTGCTAGTAGCATCAACAACGTAGTCATAGGCCTCATAGCATAAGCATACCATCAACCTTAACAATTGCAAGGATATCCCAAAAGGTGTCACAAAACTCTGTTTCTAAACTAAAAGCTTTCTAAACTCAGGAGCCAATCCAAAAACCGATGTGTTCTTTTCAACTCAATTAAAAAACATAATAGAAAAGGAAATCTATTTCTACCAAATACAAGGAATGGAATGGCTTTGAAAATGATTGAAAAAGGTTCACACGCATCTCACTTCCTACCACGGACCTTCACAGCCTGCCTGTTCCTCTTCTTCACACCAGACTTGGCAACCTTAAGACTCCTGTGAACAGCACTAAGCCTTGCAAGAGCTGCATTCTTTAGATCTGGCCTGTAATAATTGTTCGCAACCTGAAACCAATAATTGCCATAGAGTAAGTAGTTTGTTCTTTGCTGCACACTAACAGTTCAGCTTAGTAACATTGTTTCTCAGACTACATAAAAAAAATTAAATAGGAAAATAAGGAGGTAAATGAAAAGACAGGGCTTAGAAAGAGATTTCTTGTATGGGATTCATGCACAACAATGATCCCTAAGCTATATAAATGCCACAACACTCATCCAGTGTATGTACCAAAACTTCAGGACTAAGAACCAATCTATGAATGCTCTAATCTCAAAATGACCACAAAATCTTGCTTCAACAGGACAGTTAAGTACAAATATATCACCTAAATGGAACCAATCTATGGCGACCCTAAGAAGTACCAAAACAATAAAAAGTTCCCACCTAACAGACAAGTATGTGTTTGGTTCCATTTACGTTTATTGAGTAAACAGTGCCACATAGGCGCCCCATTAGCAAAAGCCTCATTAATTGTTTCCATACGTATCATTTTTGCTTTTGCAAATATCGATTTCTGTGCGCCTCTCCCGTTTCAGGAAGCTTCATTTTGGAGCTTCCTGAAATGGGTAGGCATTTATTGGCACTTTGCTGATGTGGTGCCTAATGGCACCTATATGTCATAAACGAACACATTAATAGCTTTTCTCGGTTTTGCAGCCACACAAGTACAAAACATTTATTGAATAAACACAAACAGAACCAAACACCCTCCTAAAATAACAAATTGTAAATGATTGACTATAAAAATAAAAATACTACCAACAGACAAACAGGTGTCATTTTGAAGAAAAACGCATCCAATAAATTAGTGACCTGGTCCATATGAACAAGGTTCTAAATATCAACACAGGCTGGTCCATACAAACAAGGTTCTAAATATAGGCCTGTGTTGGTGCTTCTTTTATGTTTTACTTATTTTTTTCAAAATCGGTTCAGAGGGGCCAGTTTAAGGCCCCGACTACCCTCTGAACCAGTGGCTGACCTGATTCAACCCCTGTAGGGGCGTATTGGGAAGCCACTGGCAGGATACGTATCAGCCAATACGGGCCAATTCATGTCGATACTTTGAACCTTGCGTATTAAAACAACATGATGGAGATTAGCTCAGAAGCCAAGCGTAACAAGTACATTTCATTGAAGAATCCCACATATAGGGTTCTTCTTACATGTTAGCTTCTCATCACCGCATCACAAAAAGTGAAAATGGAAAACCAAAAATAACAAGCAAAAAGGCTATCTCATTTAAAGAAATCTTACAGGTTAGAAGCTCATAACTACCGACTATTATCATTCACAGTCCATAATGGATATGATACTACACAGAATGGAATAAAACAGAATTCATGATGCTTCACAGATTCCAATGAGCACATCAAGAGAAATTACAACCAACAGATGCCTCAAGAAAGTAATCACATTTGGAATTCTTTCACAAGCTAAATAAATCTAGAAACTAGAATCCCATATCAAATACCGTCATCAAGCAATAGACTGAATTGCTATGGTGAAATCCATATGTAGCCCCCTTCTATTCTCACATCTTAGTGAAAACTTTCAAGTATTCCCAACGAAGATGTAACCAATAAATTATATACTAGATATAGACAGTATTTCACAGCGCTATCTTCAAAATTTTCTTTCTTTCAAAAAAAGATATCTTAGGACTTGTCAAAGGAAGGGAAACATAGAAATAGACATTACCTTGATAGGATCCCATTCACAATACAAGGATGACTTCATAATTCAAAATTCTGACAAGATTTTCTCAAGGGAGATCCTGACCGGCTAACAGACTCTTAATAAAATGAATCATAACTACGAACCATCTATCCTAACCAAACTAACTTGAAAGCAAAAAAAATAAAAATAAACAAAATTTGCATTGTACAAATTTATATTCAATAACAAATTATCAGATTGTAGCCAGGTAAAGTTCCTGCTTCACATCGATTTCTACGGGCAGCATAAACAATAAGAAATTTGACCTCTTTAGTCTTTACTACTTGGTTGATAACAGCCTTGACCTACCTGGTTAGTAACAGCCTTGGCCATGCGACGGAACTCCTTCTTCATGACCGACTTGTGGGTCAGGCTAGTAGGTTTGTTCTGTTTCTTCGTCTTCGTCGTGGCAAGCACCACCGAAAGATCTTTCCCTCCGGGTTGAATCGTAACCGTCTTCTTGTTTGCCAAGCCTAAAATCCCACAAAAAAAAATGAAGGTTTAAAACATAAACGCAAAACCTAAACGAGCCCGAGTTAAAGAATACAGGTAAGAAACCAACAAAGTATTCTTAATACCTGAATGCTTATAAGAGTTGACGTTGTATAGATTGTTGCCTTCTTTGCTGAACTGCACACTTGCAGTCCCATTCCCGAACTCCTTCACGAGGAAGGAGTTGTTCCTCTTCACGATCTCCCAAATCAAAGGCCCTGGAACGGTAGCCATTTTACCTGCACAGCGTTACAATATCATTACCCGAAAGCTAGGGCTTAGAAAATGCAGATCAAAACAGAACGTAAGCCTACCGATCAGAATAGAACCATTCGAAACATAAGAAAAGAAAAGGTTAATATATCGAAATGAAGTTGCAGAAACTCGACTGACCAAAATGAAGCGTAAAGAGATGAATGAAAATAATATGAATGTAAACATATACCGCAGAGAGGAAGGAGTGGCAGCCTTTGAGCGTAGAGAATAGCAAAATAACCTAGAACCAGGAAGAAACGACGGACGTGAGCTTAGTAGTACTTTTATAGTTATTGTCAAAACCCTAATACGTCTAGAAGGCCAAGACCCAAGCCTCGAAGAACCAACGTATTACTGGGCTTTGGTCCATATTAAGTTGGAACTGGAGATGGATTTTCATAACCTGGGCTTGAATGGGCCTAAAAATCCAACGTTGGGCTGGACTTGAAGCTTTATCAAAGCCCATTCAATCCAAGCCCAACAAATCGACGGTTATTATGCTGAGGGATCGTTGAGGGAAGAATTTCCAAGCGACACCGATTTCCTTTTTCTTACATTCCGGAAAATTTATGATATTGGAAAAACGTGGTATTGGAAGAGCGGAAGTCATGAATTATGAATTTTTACGGTTCAGACTCACCTCGAATTAGGCAATTATTTTTTCAAATGTATTTATGATCCACTCCACCTATAGACACCACACCGTGAATTAATTTGACATTTTTACCCCTTTGATACTAGCCAAATTGTACGATCAAATTATGGATTCTGAAGTAGAGTGGATCATAAAAAACTTGATATGTCGTGATACTAGTTGATTGGGTTGTAAACCTTTTCGGTATCATAGCTCAATTCTCAAATATTGGATTTTTTTTCAGCTTGATGAAAAAACCTTGGTCATGTTGAGAGTTTCTTGTGCATGCATGACTCGAGTTGGGATCTCTTGCCAATAAAACATATTCCAACCCCCTACCAACTTGATCTAATACTGCACATTTCACTATGAGACGGAGACCCACCATAAAAGTGGAACCCGCCATGTATGAAATGTATGATGTCAAATCATGTTGGCATGTTGTTGGAATGCCTATTATTGGCAGGTGATGTGAACTTGACTCTATCCATTTGTCCCAATGTATAGTTTTACAGATGGAGTTAAAATGCTTAGCTTCAAGTGGAGTTCAGATGGACTACACATTTGTTGTTACAACATAAGCTGCACTTTTCATCCGTGTTGTAACACTATGCTCTTTTGGGAAGACATGTAAGCTACACTTATAAGAGTATAGGGGCTTGTTTTGAGCAAGAGAGACGACAAACTATCAAGGATTATGGAATTGACTTCATATTGTTTAATATGGTTTGATTAATACCACATACGAAAATTGAAGTCTCTGCGATTTTAGAGATCTTCAAAGCCATTTGAAACCACTATGCTCGATTATTAAGGTATGTGGGCTTGTTTTGAGAAAGAGGCATAATAAACTATCAAGATCTATGATGTCATATTGTTTAATACGGTCTGATTAATACATATAAGAAATCTATGTGATTTTAGAGACATCAAAGGCATCCAATGCCTACATGCCCAATTATTAAGGCATACATGGGTTGGGTTTGTTTTTAGCAAGAGCCATAATAACCATCGAGTCATAGTAATTGATGAAGGGGAATTTGGCCCGACCTTGCAAT